TGGACGTCTAGATTATGCCGAATTTGCTTCTGTTAACATATCATCGCGATGTAATTGAGATCCCGGACTAATACTTCAATTACAAGCCAGACAATAAGAGTGGCATAGATGAACGAATTCAGGATAGGTAGAATTAAACGGGCAATGTAATAAAAGTTATGAATAATTATGTGCATTGGTATGAAGATAGAACCTTTAGTGAAACTCTGAAAGTTAAAAATGGCGTAAAGTAGGTTGACTCTGCACGTCCCTCGCAACGCCCTAGTCCATAGACATTTTTCATTGCCCTACTGGTAATGCATCTGGAAACAGACATCACGGTACGCGATCCGTCTTCCGAGGATTTTGCACAGAGAAATCCATGATGTGTAAAATATGCCTAATAGGTGCGTAGAATTTATCAATGTTGGGAACGTATAAATGTACCAGCATCAAAAAATTGAGATAAACCATTCCTTCCTCTTACAATCTCACCCTCAAGTTTTTTTTACCACTAATTGTTTTTCCAAAATGATCAGGATGAAACGTAAAAAACAAAGTTTGGGCGATTTTTATTCCTTCCTTTTAGGCCTGTTTCTATTGCAGCCACTGGAAGGATTTTCAAAAACTACAAAGATTTTTCGTCCTTATAGGCGGCTATACGATTAGCGCACAGACCGACAGAGATTCAGACAAACCGCCAGGCAGATAGACGGAAATAAATGACATGGTTTTTCGAGATGTACATGTCATATATAACATCAAAAAAACACAACATTCATTTTCAAAAATTTTCCAGTAGGGGTATAAAGCCGTGCATCTAGTTTTTGTTCGTGAAAAGTAGGCATACAATCTATTGGAATTTTTTTTCATATAGATATTCCATTGCTAACGGAATGTAACTTGGCTCCTTTTTTCAACCCTAAGATGCTAGTAAATCTTCAAGCAATCATAAATAATCGACAGAAGAAGCAAATTAATATTTTTTTCTGATTTTCATTGCCACGACACTGACTTCTACTCTCATGAAAAATATATACATATATGTAACATTAGTTGGACACGTTAAAAAATCATAATAACAAATGGAAATATCTAGATTTTTTTTGATAAATAAGGTTCTTTCTTGAAATCTATCCTACAGCTCAGGATGGTCGGAGAGTCAGGTAGTGCTTATTTTTTTTCTTTATCCTCCAACCACCACGAAGGCCTAAGGACTAAATACCCATGGGGTACCGTGGGGCAATAGATGGAAACAGGGGAAAGGGAGGACGCCACACGGACTCTGGCGAAGGAATACAACATTCTATTAAGCAGGCAGTGTGCTTTCATGGTAATGGAACAAAATTAGGTATATTATTTGAATAAGTACTAGTAGTGTTAGCAGGTCTACCAATGTTTCGGTAGATCTACCGATTTTAGTCTTAATCTACCGAACTACCAATTTTAATGACATCGACAAATGTCTAAAATGCTTAAATAGTATTTTTCTTTTATAATGCAAACAAATACAAGAATAGAGCAACTCAGCTCCATCGATGCGATGTACCTATTTGACCTTGCACTGATCTTGTGAACATCCATGGCTCGAAATGTAACTTGCGAGGCTAGGATTCGAACCCGTGAGCCTTCGAGTGGATGTGCGATCAGCTCAGCCCATTAACACATCTAGCTACCCATCCCGTTATTATTATGACTTCATTTTTAAAATAATGTTCACGTTTATATTGCTAAAAGTGTGCAATTCAATCAATATAGCTTTGGCAACACACTATTATTTTTTCTGTAGGTACATATTGTTATAAAAAAGTGTCCTTCTAGATGTAACGGAAGGAGACATTGGGAATTGATTTTCATTTTTGTCTCAGATGTCCAGACATGTAAAAGATAATATTTTACAAAACATGATTGCTCTGAGAGGTTAGAGACAAATTGATTTAAGAGTGTTCATTAATTTAGAATAATTACTACAAATATGCTATACTTTCCGCTTCGATGCCACACGTAACCAAGTTTCCCAGACATTATTCAACTTCACATTTCTTCATCTTATCTAATATGTGTAGGTTAAAGTAAAAAATCTCATGTTAACCGAAATTTCATGATTCAGGATCTGTTAGTTGGACAATAGCGGTCCAGGCAATGCCATTTGAAACATCTACATTTCAGGCAACATATAAAATATATGCCAGTTGTATTACCCTTAGCTTCAGCAGTTCATTAACTAATAATGGAGCTAATTTCTAAGTGCTACTAACCTGGTACGAAGTTAACAGACAGAAGAACCGCTGCCCCAAACAAAATCCTCCTAACCACCATCTTTAACGAAGAAAGGTCCAAACCAGCCGACGGTGGCTCTCATCCAAGAAGTAGCAGGTACCCTGAATGTAGTGGGTACTCGATTGTCGATGGTTCTGCACCTACCACCGACGACGACCACGCGCGGTCTGCGTCTCGCGAAAATTTCTGCGGTCTCACACTATGGTCTCGCGCGGAAGAACATACGGCGACACGACGGCTTGAATCAAGCTACAGAGAAAGGCGGAGGCGGCAGGAATGTCAAGCTTCCAAGCCCAGACGCCACGACAGTTGGCGTGTAATAGATAATTCTATCAGGCGTGACTATCAAACGAAACCGCTTACCGTAAATTGTGGATTATACAGTGTCTTACGAAATATCGCCTTAGAAACTCATTTGTTTTAGGCGGTGATCTAGCAACATGCTTTGTTGTAGTTCAGAAAGTATCCTCGGATCCACTCGGAAAAATATCCTGATTCGGCTTATTCTGCATAATGTTTTTTAAATAAGCACTCCTATTAATGAATATTCATGTTGCTAAGTACAAAATAGCGTTCAGAAATATTTAAACCATTTTAAAGTGATATTTGCTATGTGGGAAAATTATTACTGAATATGCTGCCCATCAAGTACATATATCTACATGTTAATTAAACCAGAGGGGTTATTTGTGTTGTCCTTTCTGAAGAGAGGTTGTGTTTAAAGCTATAAATTACGATTTTCCACGGTTTTTTGCGTTTTCAAAAACTTTGAGAAGCATTACGGGAACTCACCACATCGCCCGTATTGTGTGTAATTAGGCCACCTCACAGAAAAGTTAGGAATGACCCATTACACCCAAAACATTTTCATAGTGCCTCACATCTAGGAGCTGATTTTTATTTTCTACTTGACGTAAAATAAATTTCCATAAAATTTAATAAACTGGAAATAAAAAATAATGTAAAATTCATGCAGCCAATTTTCTTGCCCGTTAGTTGTTATATGCTTCACAACCAGGGATTTTCTTATTTTATCTGTCTCAGTTTAGAAATTCGGCAAATTTGCCTATGGTATTTCCAAGATGAAGCGTCCATCTCAGTGTATATGAGACAAGAGAAAAAGGCAATTATCATCAAGACAGATTATTAGCACACAAATCCTCAACTAAGCACCTATGTACTGGCATTTAGCCCGTTTTTCTTTCAGTTATAGTATACAACAGTTTTTTATTTATGGTCTACTAAAAATTACTATATCTTGATAAAGTAAATTATCACAACGTTTTTCTTATTTAGAATAATAATTTCATAACTGTTCTTAAAAATATCGAATTTTATTTTCATAACAAGAAACTACTCTTGGTCTAATAATTCTATGGTAGAAAATCGTACTCTACTCTAAATCTCGTTAAAGGTCATTTTTTATAATTTCCGGTGCGGCACAGCTGCGTACTGAAACAATGTCACACCCAGTGCTAGAGATTGTCGGGTTGTGGAGATTTTGATAGAAATCGGCCTCCATTAGTGAATTTTGTTGCCGGAGCCCTTTTCTCAACCTCTTGTGGATATAGCCGTTGTCATAGCTACATTAAACCATCGAGCTGAGGGGAACTGTCTGCATTGATTCTCCGGGACGATCTTTAAGTAGGACTCGCGTCTGTGACGAACAGTGCCCCATTTATGTGAACCCTCATTTTTCGAGGGTTCTACCTTCGGGTACTTATTTACATCTGGGACTTCCTACCCTTGCTTAAATTTGCTTCGGAGCTTCCATTGGGTAGCCTTTCCTCAGAGAGGCTCAATAGCAGCTATCCCTTCTCTTGTGTGGAAATCAATCCCACCATTCTATAATAGTCAAGCACCTACCAAGGTGATTTCTTTTACTCTTAGTTTTTGCTGCAAACTATTTCGCTGAGGGGCTAGTACCTACTAATTACCTTTTGCTTGTCTCCTAGGGCTTCTTTTTTTTTCTTTCAATAAATGTTTGTGTACCTTGTGAATTTGTGTTTCTTTTAGCCCCACAGATCCAACATTTGGTAGTCAGTTTAAGTTTTGATAGGCCGAAAGGCGCTATTTGTTATTTCTTTTCCAGTTCTTGAATCTTGGTGGTGCCCAAACCTCAATTATTTTTATCAAAGACCAAAGTACAAAGAATCACACTCTGAGGTCTCATTACCTACCATACTGGCGGGATAACAAACTTACATCTTAGGCCTCCAGTAATACAATCTCTAAAGCAGATGTTATATCACATCAGAGCCAAACCATGGAAGCTCAATCGCACAGCAACCCTCTGTTGCGGATATACAGTAGTCTACGCAGTCGAGCAAGGTCACAAATACTCCAGGTCGCGCCATTGCACTGTGATCAAAATTAAATTGTGAATTTCAGGCCAACCAGAATTATTTCAGCGTACAAAATCGATCAAAATTATTTTTAGAGTTACAAAATTATTCGAGTAGTCAAACCGATAATGCTTAAGTGTGTTCTAATTCAATTGATTTCCTTCTTTTATTTGCTCTATTTCTTCATCTTCCTTTCTTTTGTTGTTCCCATTTTGCCCTTGGACATATTTGGTATCTGTGTAGCCAGACCTGACAGACTATCAGAACTAAGAGACTTTTAACTACGAGCAAAGGTCCACCAGGCCTCTTTGACGAACTGTGACGAATACTAGTTGAAAGCTCAAGCGTCATGACTTTTAGGCAACACGTACAGCTGCCAACGAGTGCCCATCAAGTAGGCAACAGCTGGTCCAAGTTGTCATCTTATAGGAAAACCTACGTAATGTCAAAGAAACCTTCATAATGAAAAAAAAAACAACATAATGTCACGTTTCAAGGTACGTAATGCCCCTGCCGGATCAAGTTTATTTACGTATTTCTGGTTAAACAAGGACCTTATGGACACTCTAAAATTGTAGTTAACGAGATATAAGCGATTTAGTATTTGTGAAATTACAAAATATGCGATGTTCAACTCCAAAAAATATGAAAAAAAAATATCATTTTTGCCGGAGTTCTCAGACTCTAATGACAAAATCTCAAACCATCTTAGGTGGTATTGTTATTGTAAACATTTGTTTTTTAATTATTAATCAAGCACGTCCACTATGATTCTGCGTGAGTATGTGAAAGATGCAGATGGCGGCTACCCTTAAAAAAAGTTAGGGGAACCTGTTTTATTCAGAATAATGTTATAAAGTCTGTCCAGAACGAAAAAAGAAACATTTTTTGGAATATGTTTAAAAAAGTTGTTAACCAATTTTTGATGCAATTATGAGCCTATCAACAAGCAGATTCAATAAAAGAGTCATCTTTGAATAAGATTATTCGAAAAAACGAATCAGAATACTTTTCGAGCGACTGAGAAGATACTTCTTAGGGTTTTGTACAAATTTGTGTCGTTTAACGTGACTACTGCCGAATGATGGTTTTGCTGTCGGTGCTATCGTTCATGTGACGAGTTTGGTCGTCATTTCCATCCGCGGCCGTTGAAACTCTAGATTTGGTATTCAATGAGACGCATGCTTAAAAAATACTTAGATATAAGGAATCCGCCAGTAAAGCGGTATTGAGCAGCTAGGAAATTCCACCTTTAGTGCATCAATTTGTTAATATGTTTATTTTTTGAACAGTTTAAGTTATAAGCTGAAATTCGGATTAAAGTGAAAATAACAGTTGAAAGTTTGCAGATGGTAGCTGGCATATTTTGAAGATCCTCGTGAGTGTTCCATGATCCTAGAAAATAATTCACTATCTTCAACATGGCGGAGTGGGGAGCTGTCAAAGTTGAGCATTTTTGTATATTGAATCGCCCAAAACTCAACAACTAGTCATCGAAACGTATGTCATACAAATACTCTTATTTTGGAAGGGTTTGACTGAATGTGACACAAATTATGAGACATTCAGTTTAAAATTTAGATATTTTGACGTTTTCAAATATAATGTTACATGTTTTATTATATATTGAAACTGACCCTTACAAGAGAAAAATATTGATATAACAAACTTTTGGTGATTGGTTGTTGAGTTATAAGCTACCTCAAATTTGATAGCCTGTCAGTTCGGGGTTTCCATACATAGTGATTGAATATTATGGGGTTATAGAGTACTTATGAGGAGGTTCAAAATGAGGTATCCACTTTGGGACCGTTCAATTATTCTGTAAGCAGATTTTTTTACATTTATTAACCCCCTCCCTCCCCTTTGTCAGCAAAAGTAAGAACCCTATTACCCTATCCTCTCCAATGCTTACGTAAACATTTTGGTACATTTTACGATTTGAAGCAAGTATCGTCTCACACGCATATGTTCTGAATACAATTACTGCAAAATCAGGACTATCTGGCTCACTCGACCCAAACATACTTTATGATAATCATTAATTTCGATTGAAATACATACCTCTTCTAATACATTTCCACCAACTCGAAGTTGGATCTTTCTAATGTTCATTAATTGTAACGGCACGGTCATCTAAATGAGACCCAAAGTGATCATGAGGTAGTATAAAACCATCCAATTTCTAACTAAGATGAGCCATTTTGCACAGTCCTTGGTTATAAGCATTTCTACCAGGAGCATTTATGGTTAAGGTTCTAAGAGAGTAAGCATATCCATATTTGATGAATTCCTGAAGATGCGTTTCGTTGACGAGCATTCACAAGCAAATTTACCATAATGTGTTCGAATCAAAATCGACTACATTTTTTAGAAAATCCGAAAAATAAAAAAATAAATATTGTTGACGTAATCACCATCTAGAACCTCCCATCTGTCAAGTCACCAAAAATAAGCAAAGTGACGACCCTTGCTCTTTTAGTACTTACGTAATACTTGAATGGTCCCTTTTAAGCTAGAATTCAGTATGCATCAGTTTCATTTCCCTAAACTTCGGCTTGCTAAAAATAAGTAGTGGGAGCCCTTTTTGAAAAGAAATATAGGTATCTTTCGGTTGTCTTACCTGACTGTCAATTTTACAGTTGAAGAAGATATGTATCTACGTTCACTCTACCGCCATGTTAAAAATGGAAATGGGAGGAAAATCATATGAGTGTAGACATTTCTATAAACACTTCCAGTCCTTCAGATTACTCTACACTATGCACCGTAAATTCTATACTCGGGTATCGAAAAGTAAGAGAGCAGCAGAACACATTGTAGGCCACCGCAAGCGCGGCATCTCTTTGAATAGGCGGGATACGTGCACATCGACTTTGTCAATGCAAAGGCACGCCGCGCCAGCAGTAGTTTGCCATGTTGTTTACTACTCTTTTCCTTTTCGATGCCAGATTATAAGCAGTGCGAATCTGAAGTTACTTAGATTTCATTTTTGGTTTGTAAAAAGTATTTTACCAGACGGTAAACAAAATGAAATGGGCTCCACAACTAGGAAACGACTCAAAAGATTCAGTAACACTCTTTTAGAAAATCACTATAAATTTTACATTCTTGAGGCCGCGATTTAATAATAATAATATCTTTTCTGTGACAGGAACAAATTTTGACATTTATCTCTGTTGACAGGTAACAAAATGTAATTTTTTATAAAATTACTTTTTTCCCGGATATTGTATAAAAACACATATTTAGCTGACAATAATTTTTGTGACGCTACTTTGGCTACTTCTACTAATTCCCGTGGATTCAAAGAAAACTCGGAATCAGACATTGTTTACTTTATAGTATTAAAAATAACTTCTAAACAACCACTAAGTTCACAATTCTTAAATAAAATCACAAAATTAAACTGACAGATATTTGATCACTTTAAAAGTTTCCTTAGCAACGCAAGTCTAATTGTCGCTATAAGTACAGCATAGGCTACTAATTTCAAATTTCACATCGATAGTTTTCTCACTTAAATATTGTAATGGTATAATTTTTCCATATAAATCGTCATTTTTCCCGTCACAGATAAATTCTGTATTATACACGGGAAAAATGCTAGATTTTAGTAGTACTTTTTTCCCTTGTAGAATAAATAACTATTATTATAGTAAAATAACAACTATATATAGAAAAATCAAATAGACTGATGTGAAGTCTAGCGGCAGGCTACTCGACTTAACCACCAGCGAATTCACACTCGAAAAAACTAAAAAAAAATAATAATATTTCTTCTCTGGGAGCTGGTACATATATGTATATGTACATATAAGAGAAACGATTAGTAAGCTGAATTGATACAGTAGATAATGTTACACAAAAGTAAGCAAGCATAAATATATAAAAAAAGTAGAATATAATAAGTGGAAAATTAGCGGTGAAGCCGTATCATAATTTTCACTGACCATCGAGTAACTTCTTCATTAATTTATATTGAATTTATCGATACTTAATAATCTAAACTCTTCTGCAGTAAATTGTATGCTCTGGTAGCATCATAGACAAAGATCTGGAGAACAAGGCCAATTTGCCTCTGATGTTCATAGATTTTTGTAACCTTAAAATACAAAGTGTATAGCTAAGGTAAGAGCAGAATTCCTATAAACTATTATATATATATATATACAGGGTGGACTTTGAAGTTGAGTCTTAATTTTCAGATAATGATTGTAGAAGGAGATAAACCAAAATATGTGTGTAAAAATAAAAACAAATTAAAAAAAAAATTTTTACCTTGTTTTATAAAGTATCCTCCCGACAAGTATTTCAGTGCGGACCTGTATTTGATCTGTGAAGTCTTGGAGCACCGGCATGCAGCCCCTGTGTGGTCTTAAGTCACCTGATTTCACGAGCCCGTTGTACTACATTAACAAAGGCACGAGGGGTTGGTTGCACTCGATTGGGAAACCGATCCGCATAAACATGTGCCATTTTTATTTCGGTTGAGCCACGCAACAGACACTACTATTCACCGACACTGTTGTATACAAATGAATAAATAATTGTAAAAACATCGTTCCCAAATCTTTCGCTTTTTTGTTTTCGATGCGATGAACCGATACGGCGGATTATATCCGTTGTCGCCAGCACGAGCACATATTATTATTGAGACAGGGCGATACTCAAAACTTCCAAAGGGCTATAAACTTTGTTACTTTAATTTTACCAGAAAAATGGTAAAGGAAAAAACATTTCTTTTGATCAGATCTACTCCTGTTAAAATAAATGACTCAACTCGAAGTCACCCTATATATATATATTATATTTAATTTTGAATCATTAGGTATTACTTATTTAGCCGTTTCATGTTTGTATGGCACTGCACTCATAGATTTTGATCGAAATTTTCAAATTTGTCACGCATTAATACTTTTATTAATCACTCAATTACTGACGTTAAATATATACTACTAGAGATTACAACAATGCTGCATACGATAAAATTTTATTCCGCCAATGACTCAACCGCTATCGAATACATGGCAATTGGATACACAATGCGAATGCTAACAATAATTAAACATAATTCCGAAGGTAAGGTGTTTGAATTAGTTCATTCAAGAATCTCGGTTATAAGCAACACAAAAGACGAGGAAGTGAATGATACCATCCTGTAGGATGTTTACACAGAAACAAATGGGGAGGAAATGTCGATCATTTGCATATTAAATGTTAAATTGATTTGCTCTCTAACATAAATACATGCTAAATCATTCAGAAGCAATATGGCTATTCTAAAAGGAAACGCACAAGCTTCATGGGTTTGCCACTGTAGCACATATACACATATTGGCCAATGATAATGGTAATAAATATTAATGATAATGATCATGTTTACTTTTGATGCATTATCGAAGGCATTTGCATTGCTTATATTACGTCAAGTAGCTAGAAATATAGAAGGGGAAGGTCCTGGCCTAAGTATGCAAGACATACTGTGCAGTGCTCTAACGAGGATACGTTGTAGATCAAGTCCGCGTATATTTATTATTGGTGTCTCCGATAACTTAAATTATTCACGTATTTTTCGGTCTGCAATACACTATTCATAAAAAATAGCTTTAGGGGACGAGAATTGTTAATAAGTCACAGCCACGGTTCATGAAGTATTAAAGGCTCGGTGTGTTGTTTCTATACACTTTTTTAACTAGTTTGTTCCAACAAAGCATCGATATTTTGAGTCCCTCTTTCCATCTTCGTTTCCTCAGGTTACACCCGTATCCGGATTGTATGGGCATATGTGCATCCATTTCGGGCCTGATGAAGCCAACCAGCAGGAATACGTATCGCTCGGGTTACCTATCCTATTTTCTGCTCGAATCCACTTTCCTTCTTTTTGCGGATTTTGCCCATTATTTTCTTATTTCTTGTTATATACCTTTCTCCGCATAATAATTTTGTTTGTAGATCCTTTGGACTTGAAGTACCACAGCAGGTGGCTATAGCCGGCCGCGTGGTTGTGGTTAGATGTCGCTTTGAAAATTCGAGGCCTTCTAGCCATTTTATACTACAATGTGTAGGTTGGCTCTTGTTGTGGACTTCGTGTGTCATTTTTTCCCTCTCCATCTTCGTTTCCTCAGGTTACACCCGTATCCGGATGTACGGGCATGTGTATCTACTTTTTTAGTTGCATATGTGGATTCATTTCGAGCCCGATGAAGCCAACAGCAGAAACACATATCGCTCGGGTTACCTAAGCTATTTTCTGCTCGAATACACTTTCCTTGTTTTTTCGGATTTTGCCCATTATTTTCCTATTTTGTTGATATATATACAGGGTGACTTCGAAGTTGAGTCATTTATTTTAACAGTGATTAGATCTGATCAAAAGAAATGTTTTTTTCCTTTACCATTTTTCTGGTAAAATTAAAGTAACAAAGTTATAGCCCTTTGGAAGTTTGAGTACCGCCCTGTCTCAATAATAATATTATGTGCTCGTATTTGGCGACAACGGATATAATCCGCCTTATCGGTTCATCGCATCGGAAACAAAAAAGCGAAAGAATGTGGAACGATGTTTTTACAATTATTTTATTCACTTGTATACATACAGTCAGTGTCAGTCGGTACGCGTGTGAATAGTGGTGTCTGTTGCGTGGCTCAAACGAAATAAAAATGGCACATGTTTATGCGGATCGGTTTCCCAATCGAGTGCAACCAACCCCTCGTGCCTTTGTTAATGTAGTACAACGGGCTCGTGAATCAGGTGACTTAAGACCTCACAGGGGACCTCACGATCAAATACAGGTCCGCACTGAAATGCTTGTCGGGAGGATACTTTATAAAACAAGGTAAAAGTTTTTTTTTATTTTTTTTTATTTTACACACATATTTTGGTTTATCTTCCTTCTACAATCATTATCTGAAAATTAATGACTCAACTTCAAAAAGTCACCCTGTATATATATATATATATATTTACATCTCCATGTGGATCGGTAATCCTTTCAATTCCCAGCAATAAGTCACCTACCAGAAATATCGAATATAT